CGGGCCAGCGGACCATGGGCCCATGATAAAAATATTCTCGACTATGACGGATGGGCCGGGAGGCAAATTATTCCCGATGGAGGCGGGTGGGCCCATGCAGGGAATATATAGAGTAGATGAGTGGGCCGATGTAAATGAATATTAGGTAGACGGGTGGGCCGAGGTAGCTGGATATTATGCAGATGGGTGTATTAAGGTAGATGTGTATGAGATAGATGGGTAGGTACTTGTTATCACATTCACGGGTGGGCCCAGACACATATTAAATTAGACGGGTGGGCCGAGGGTATTATAAAATATTGTATTATACGGGTGGGCCCAGACGCATATTAATTAGACCGGTGGGCCGAGGGTGTTGTATGGGATGTTGTATTAGACCGGTGGGCCGAGGGTGGTATACAATATAGATGGGTGGGCCCATGTGTATCATAATTGTAGACATGATGGAGCTGAGGTAGTTGTACATCAACCAAATCAGAGGAGGTAATAAATCAAAGTTACCAAGTTCCCGGAGCATCAGGTGATCTCCTGACATGGCAGTGCGAAGCTTGTGTTGCCCAACGAGACGCCAAGTTCCGGCCACCAGAATTTGAGTCAACTGTACCGAGTTCCGAGTTCCGGGACCCGGAACTCACCACATAAGTTGGTTAATACTTTTTGATGGTGCACAGGTTGTCTTGCAGAATGTGGAATCCGGGGTGCGAAGCTTGTGTTGCCCTACGAGAAGCCAAGTTCCGACCACCAGAATTGGAGTCAACTGTACCGAGTTCCGGGACCCGGAACTCAACACATAATTTAGTTAATACTTTCCGTGTTAAATGGCCAACCGAAGTTCAGATGTTTCTGAAGAGAGCAGCAGGTGCTCTCTTGACATGGCCTCTGATGGTGCTTAGGTTGTCTTGCAGAATATGGAATCCGCGGTGCGAAGCTTGTGTTGCCCTACGAGAAGCCAAGTTCCGACCGCCAAAATGTGAGTCAACCATACTCAGAGGAGGTAATAAATCAAAGTTACTGAGTTCCCGGAGCAGCAGGTGATCTCCTGACATGGCTGTGCGAAGCTTGTGTTGCCCTACGAGACTCCAAATTCCGACCACCCAAATATGGGTCAACTGTACCGACCTCCGAGTTCCGGGACCCGGGAGTCGACAAATGAATATCTGATGACCAGCGAGTCAACCTTACTCAGAGGAGGTAATAAATCACAGTTACCGAGTTCCCGGAGCAGCAGGTGATCTCCTGATATGGCAGTACGAAGCTTGTGTTGCCCTATGAGACGCCAAATTCCGACCACTCAAATATGGGTCAACCGTACCGACTTCCGAGTACCGGGACCCGGGAGTCGACAAATGAATATCTGATGACCAGCACACTTCCAATCAGGTAGTATTTCATTGAGCAATGGATAATAATACATCTTTGACAGCGGCCAAAATTATCCATCGCTCCCTTATCTGATCCTCTCTATCTCCACCCCCTATAACACCAAAGTCCGGACATCCAGCATTCAGCATCTGATTTCCCAAGATTAACATCCAGCATGAACGGTTCTTCCCCTTCCCCTCCTGATAGCATAAACATCTGGCGCACTTGGGCCCTGACTGTGACTTATGAAGCAGGGGAATATACCGAACAGAAATTCAAGGCAGAGAAGACTGGAGGAGGCCCAGTCATACCTTCCCCCAACCTAGACACTGATCTGGTGATGGCGTGCGATCGCTTGGCTGATGTACTCATAAAGGCATCTAAAAATCCCAGTGGGTCTTCCTGCAGATTCGGAAAATTCTATTTATCATCCAAATTCCTGCATGACAGTTCAGATGCAGATGGATATTGCAAGATATAGCAAATTGATCTCCCCGAAGGACACCGGGCATAATGAACATAAAGAGGCGAGGTTGCTTGAGAGGTGTCCTCCTGGCCATGAAGGCAAAAGGTTGGTCGATGAACCTGCAATAATTCTTGATGCATCCGGTGCCATCATTGCATGGTATCTCCCAGATGCCCTGACAGACACCACCCAGGTGTGTAATATACATTGTTACTCGATGGATATCGAATATTAATGGAACCTACAGAAGGAAATCAGGGAGGCCACCTATTTGCTCTCTCCAAGCCTCGAAAAAAGTGTAAGGGCTGATGGCAATTGGCGAACTAATCAAAGGTTGTTCAACCGGGGCTCGGAAGATGTTGGAGCAACTCCCGGATGCATCAATCTATCTCCGGCATGGTTTCAACAGGGACATGAGGTAGGATCTGATGAGATGGTGATTCCGGCAGTCATACTTACCAATCCCAAAGAATGTGTCCGATCCGGAGGTATCTGCATCATTGAAGGGACCTTCCTGCGAGAATATCCTCAAAGCCATTGCAAGGCCAACAGCCATCGCGTCCGCGGCACTCAGAGTCATGCATCCTGAGCAGTACTGGGCAGGGTTGAGAACCTTGTCAAACCTTGGAAATATAGCAGTAAGCAAGGATCTGCCACAGATGCCGGAGGCCCTGCAGTACTGGGCATCCGTGTTTAACACCCTCTCCATTATTTCCAATCGGGAAACCCCCCATCATCGAGACCACATGTCCATTGCTGAATGCTTCGACATTCTCACCACTGTGGGGGACTATTCTAATGCTCGGATGACAATGCCAAACCTTCAGCTGGAGTTCAAGTACAATTCCGGCTGTATGATTGCATTTTCCGGAAAGATTGTGAGACATGGAGTGTATGATGTGGAAGGGGATCGGATTGCTTGGGCATGGTATATGAGGGATGCTGTTCATATTTATGCTGGTGTTCCATCATGTGGATGGGCTAGTGTGGATGGTCCATACAGTGTGTGAAAGATCAAACAAAGAGCAAGCATTGTGACCTATATACATTCCAACAAATGAATACCATGTACCAATTGTGATCCGGACCTCAATACTCAATTTTGAGCATTTCCCAAGTGATATGTGGGACTAAATAATTTGGATGCAAGCCTCGGTATTCGATAATTGGAACTCGGGACTTGACATATGGGAGTCCTGAGTGCCAGGGTACTTAGTCCCGACACCCGGACCTCAGCAAGTGATATTTGAGACTGGGGGAAGATGTATAAATACGCTCGAATTAACATTTGTTATTGCCATACACATTTAACAAAACCCTGAACCCCGACATTGTGGACTCCGGACTCGACACTGTTCTGAATACCGAGTTCCAGACGCCCAGGTCCCGAGTCCCGAATTTTGGAGGTCGGGGCTCGGAGACCCGGAGCTCGGCAACTGTGTTGGGTGTCAGGGTATCCAGACCATTGGAGATAGCATGTGTGAGTATTTTGCGTTTCATGGTTTATGTTGGGTGAATATGGAATTGGGGATCAGGGACTCGGTATTCAGAACAGTGTCAAGTCCCAGGTCACAAGCTCCGAGTCCCGAGTGCCGAACCCCGAGTCCCGAGTCCCGAATTTCGGAGGTCGGGGTTCGGCGACCCAGAGCTCGGCAACTGCTGGGTGTGGGTTTCGGGACTCGGGACTCAGAGCTCATGACCTGGGACTCAACACTGTTCTGAATACCGAGTCCCTGATCCCCAATTCCATATTCACCCAACATAAACCATGAAATGCAAAATACTCACACATGCTATCTCCAATGGTCTGGATACCCTGACACCCAACACAGTTGCCGAGCTCCGGGTCTCCGAGCCCCGACCTCCGAAATTCGGGACTCGGGACTCGGGGTTCGGTACTCGGGACTCGGAGCTCGTGACCTGGGACTTGACACTGTTCTGAATACCGAGTCCCTGATCCCCAATTCCATATTCACCCAACATAAACCATGAAACGCAAAATACTCACACATGCTATCTCCAATGGTCTGGATACCCTGACACCCAACACAGTTGCCGAGCTCCGGGTCTCCGACCTCCGACCTCCGAAATTCGGGACTCGGGACCTGGGCGTCCAGGACTCAAATGTGAGATTTTTGAATGCATAGAATATGTTACATCTTGTATACAATGAAGAGTGAATGGGACTACACTCCTTTGCCTTTCCTCAATTTCTCTAACATGTCAGTGTACATCTTCACCTCTCCCATCTTAGCTTCGATGCCCTGATCTTGCTCCTCCAGCAATGCTTCCATGCGTTCTTTGATGAATCTCAGTCCCATGAGTGGTGGAGTCGAAGTGTTTTTCAACTTCTCTGGAAGTACCAAAGCATCATCCTCAACATTAAGCTGAAACAGATAAGTCATCAATCAAGGTAATTCAGCTGACATCTTACCGCCCAATACTGGTAGTGAGAGACGCAGGAAGCCATTATTTCATCCCACTGCCATGGTTGATCAGGGATTGTGGTGTTTCCCATCCACCATGGACATGTATATGCGAACACAATCCGGGACGGATGTCCTGCAATTGGCTCATCATGAAATGAAAGGAGGTGGAATGAAAAGACGTCGTCCGGAACAGTGTTCCAGGTCAGCATGGGATACAACTTAAGGATATAAGCAACAGGGACCGGAAGAACCGACACGATATTCTGTGAAGCGGAGTACTGCAGGAGTGGTGTGACAAATGTCTGCTCAAATTCTTAGCATTGACCAACAAAGTCATCAGGGCAGTGGTGACATACATTCATCTCCCATTGCAGCCCGGCTTTAAAATACTTGATCCGGTCAGCAGATAGACCATTGTTGGCAGCTTCCGTCCGATATTGAGAGATGATTGCACGGACGCGCGATCCAGCCATTGCCAATGTGCAGGAAATAGTTGCAAGGCTCAGCTTCAGAGGTCGGTAATGGCTTCCGGGATTCAGAGTGCCAGAAGTGGATGCATGAGATGCAGACATGGCTAATACAGGACTATGGCGCTGGCAATACAAGTGAAAGATGGTCAAGATGTGAAGATAAGAATCACTGATGGATGGATACGAAATTCAAACTCCGACATGGGCTGACCCAGACAATTCCCAGGCGTCAATTATGTATGTGGAAAAAGGGACTTCATGAGAAAACAATGTTCATTCATCTCCAGCCTCTATCAACACGTTTTGTAGGTCTTGAAAAGCTGCCTGCGCATCCTGTGCCAGCAATGAATACATGTGGGATTGCCTTCCAGCGTAGCATCCGTGACCCGGAAGTCGTTTCTCCAATGATTCCTGCATGTGCTCGCCCCATATGGTTGTTTTCCACAAAAAGAACTTACATGTCCAATCCATCTCGAATGTGACCAATAGCATTTCTTCCCTCCATTGATCCCATAGTGCCTTTGCCCTCAGCCAATGGACTCGGTAAACTTGGCATGGGTCCAGTCAGGTAACCGCGGGATATGACATGCAAGCGGGAACTCACATTCTTCATTCCACGATTGATCAGGACCCCCGAGGTTGACTTCAACAGACCAAAACCAAGCCAAAGATTCATTTCGTTGACCTCGGGCATTTGGGTCGCCCACTGCAGTGCTGATTTTGAGTTGCTCGCGAAGCAGGGGTTTGTATTTCTGAAGCTGGTCTTGCCCCGGCTCAAGTTTCATCATTTGCTTCCTTGTCTTTGTATATATGCTGGCATGGAGGGAGACTGCCTGCTGCACCGACGTTACCTGGGACCAAGCTCGAGTTTTCAGGGCCTGGGAATTGGCCTGCCTAACGGTTGTTCGGAATAGGATGGCCTTGTTGCAAAGGTAAATGCGGAGATTGTGAAGGGCATCATTGGCCTGCCCTTCACGAAGCGACATCTCCAGGGGAATCAGATCCTCTGCCATGCATCGTCTGCATCTGTCAACCCCCAGGTTTGATGGCAATGGGATTACAGTTAGCTCGGGAGAGTTTGTCCATGTGTGAGATGTCTCTGTGAAATCCGCCGGGTCATCATCGAGATCATCTAGAATGTCTACATCCAAGTCTTCAGGTTCATCATCTGCATCAAATCCCTCCCCGAGATGTGTTAGAGCAGACCGAGCAAATCCATCTATCTGGCCTTGGAGCCGATCTCTTTGACGGGCAATGTCTAATCTCTGTGTCTCGGTGGATCTTCTTCCGATCCTTCGGACCTCGATGAGCAATGCAATCTGAGCCTCTTCAATTGCTAACCCTGTTGATATCCATGTCGCCACAGATCTGCGAGAGGGTGCTGCATTGCGGGCGTTACCCTCCTCTAACAATCTAAGCTCGATCTCCTTTTTGCGAGGTGCTGAGTGCAATATTAATTCAGTCCTCGATGGAGACAATGGAACTCAACGTACCCTTTTTGATATTGATCTCATATTCATCCATGGCTGAAGGATCATTCAATCTGCTTGACTGAGCTATCCTCTCCCTGGCTAACCATTCTGTCTTCAAATGTGAGGGTGCTGCTTCATCGAGTCTGTCGAATGCCTTTCCACTTTCTAAGATACCATTCCTAGCCAGTTTGTATTTCCGGCATAGAGTCCTTTTCATGCGAATCATCTTGCAGAAATTGGAGTCATTCATCTGATAATCAAGGCATTCCTTTCGGTGGGGAGATGACATTCCCCGAGCAGCAGGAGAGATCAAATTGAGCCATGCCCATAGCGTCTCCATGATCTCTCCATCGATCCGACCAATGCCTTCAATAAAGTTAGAAGCATATCGGACATAGCAGCTGTCCTGATGGCCATGAACGTGCCACAACCCAATTCCGGGAATGATGGTTAGTTGTGGTGCCATTTCTAGAAATCGACTTCGATCCACCCGAACCCGAAAGTGTTTGTTGTATTGACAATTAATATCATAGAAGGTGACAGCCCTGGTGATGCCTTCCATGTTGTGCCGGGAAGCCTCGCAAAGGGCGTAGTCCATGTTCATTTGTCTGCAAGTGACCCATGGTTAACTCGTGAATGGGGAATGGTGGATGTGGCTTGCCTTTCGCCTTTCTGAAAATCCACCATGGAGTGAGGGACAAAGCAACCGTGTCTGGCACAGGCAACTCCCCCGATACCGGTGGACTCCAGCTTGTGCCGAGCAGCATTAGCTTGATTTACTGCCCGGTGATTGTTGCAGCTTGATTTTTCCACTGTGTCAGCAGCCTCTGCCAGGTGCATTTTATACCTGTCCTTTCCTACCATGAATCCAAGCCCATCGGACAGCCAAACTTCATTGAATGGCTTAATGGGATGCAGATGTTCGGCTTTGAAATTTCTGTCCATCACAAATGACCGGGTGTATTTCCAGCTTGGATCCCTAGTATTATTATGGAGGCCACATAGGTTGAGAATAGGACTCACTCATCAAGAGATTCATCCTCTGACAACAGCACATTAATCCCAGGCTGAGGACATGCCGGGCAAAATAATGCAAGTTCTCCTGTGCTCGGGTTATCAGAACGATGGCCGAAGCCATGCCATTTCATTGTCTTCAACTGCCTCCACTGTCGAGCGACCCTCATGAGCTCTCTGTATCGGTCCTTGCAATGTGCTTTGTCAATATGATGTCCAGTATATCATGAGGGTAAGGCATTACCGGAACAAGGTGTGGAAACATGCTGGAGGTCATTCGCCGGAGCTTGCTGTAATAGTTCATCGCGGAGGTGCCGCATTCAAGGCTGTCCAGTAGAAAATCATTGAGCACTCTGAAGGTGAACACAGTCTTTGGCCTGTTAAAAGATGCAGGGAAAAATCCGTGTCGAAACATTTGAATGTCCGGACTCATGGCATTCGGACATTCACAGCATTGAACCTCCAGGCGATGAACTCCAGACTTGTCCACGATGACCATGGTGTTTTCCTTTGGCTGGAACTCGGGTCCGGACACAAATGGCAGATCTTCAGGCTCGAGCAGGTCTTCGGGTTCATCTTCTTCAAACAAATCCCACCGATCGGTGACCGCCGGACATTGTTTGCCATCATGGCCAAGGTATATAATGAGTCCCACATGAGCTAGACAACTCCGCTCAAAGAATCGCCCATTCCATTGACTGATCCAGTGGAAAGGATTGCTACGATGTTGACTCCTGCAACAGCCCGTGCAATAAAGTGGCTCGCCAAGACAATCTTGACATTTGTACACCCCATCCTGTTGGCAGATGATGCATCTCCTGTCTTCGGGTGGAGCTTCTCGATCGAGGAGGTGATGTAGATATGATTCCTGCCTTGGCAGCCATTGCCTGAGGTAGTCATTTTGACTCTGTATTTTGAATGCTTAGCCATAGTTTGAATGACACTCCAACATTGTACATGAACTTGCCATGGTTTTTGGGAGTTGCAAAGGCTCAAATGAGCCTTGGTCCTGCTCGTAAGTATTGTCAGGAAAGTCTTCCCAAGGAGGCGGTGTAGAGACTCGTGCATCTCATAGTGTGATATGGCGCTTTACACTAGGGAGTATACAGCACCAACTCGCAGCATCACTCTGTGTACCATCCACAGTGATTCCTATATGACGCGCAGCTTTCCCGCGCAATGCGCGCCATGCGCGCACCATTCCCGCGCTTCACGATGTATACGCGCGCGCGCGTTCCCGCGCTTGCGCGCCCTATAGCGCCAGCCATCCAGATGCATCCATCCACTGTCCACCAAGCTCCCTAGTGCGTATATTTCCATTTCCTTTATTAGCATAGTTCCACCTTTATTTTTATCATAGTTTCTCACTCATATATATTTTTACATACCTACTCGGTAGCGCTTCGGCTCCGCATGAGCGCGCTTAGGCGCGCTATATAAGCGCCAGCAGTACATACTATTATTTACCTACTTTTTCCTACTTTTCACTTACTAGTTACTACCCACTTACTACTTAGCAGAATATAGTAGAAAGCTATTCCTTTACATTTTGCACTCTTATATCTCTTATCTTGCTTTATATCACTACTTAAGCTTAGTTTCTCATTTCCGCATACGCGCGCGCACTTTCCCGCGCTTCGCGCTAATACGCGCGCGCGTTCCCGCGCCTTTGTACCTTGCGCGCTCCTGCGCTTTCTCGCGCTTCGCTGAAGCGCACACTTCTAGATCCTTGCTGCACTCACTTCCCCTATAGGGTCGAACGCACTTGCTTCTCAAGTAACGCAGACTAGGCAGCGCGCGACCTTACAACTTTTACAGATACAGTCAGGAGCTTCTTTTATTCCTCATTGTATTGTTGTTTCTACAACTGGAGCCCACCGCGAGGGGAGCAGTCAGCAAGATCTAGTTTTGCGCATCTTCGCACTTCACGCTATTTAACACATAAAGGTCAATCTCTTTACATATTCAAAAGCTAACCATTTTCTAGTCACGCATTCTCGCGCCTTGCGTGCGCGCAATAGTTCCCACGCCTCTGCGCCTCACGCGCGCACCTGTTATACGCCTCGCGCGCGCCTGCGCTTTTTCACGCTGCAATGCCTTATAGAATGCCCATCCGCGGCACTGCAAATGCGCCCAAGTTCGATGGCACTACAGACAACCTGGCCGAGTTTATTGACACCTATGAGCAGCTTGCTGATGAAGCAGGACTCCAAGGACTTGACCGCATCAAAGGTATCATCCGCTACCTTGCGCGCGATGATCGAGAACTATGGGGAGGCATGCCAGAAGCGGCAGTAGATAATTACAGCGCCTTTTTAGATGAGGTGAAGGTAATGTATCCTGGATGGGATGGTAAAAGACGCTACGCGCTTGCGGACTTGCGCGCCATCGTGCGCGAATACGCTAACAAACCAATGCCTTCTTGCACAGAACTCAGCAATTACCTGCGCGCATTCAGGAAGGTTATGCAGCCACTCATGGATGAAGACTGTATTGGAAAGGCCGAACGCGACCGCTTATTCATGGAAGGAATCCCTAGCGATGCTCAGGCGCAAATCCGCTTGCGCCTTATGATCAAGTTCCCTGACCACCACCCATACGACCCATATCCATTTATGGACGTCTTTGCAGCTGCGCAGTTCCTATTATCTGGGCGCGCTTTTCCCGCGCCAAGCGCACCAGTAAGCGCACCAATTAGTGCGCCCACTATAGCGCCAAACACGCCAGTTAGCGCACCAGTGGCTAAGTGCCAAGATCGCTATCAAGCGAGTCGCGCAACACAGGATACGACCATTAGCACTAATGCGACAGCTGGACTCTTCTATCGCGCACCCTCGGAAGTTGCACTTAACAAAAGGCCACCAGTTCCAATTCTCGTGCCTCGCACGTGCGCCTTTCCCGCGCCTTCGCGCGATTCACGCGCACCTCAGCTATCAACTGCGCCAGCATACAAAGGTATACCAGAATGCATCGCTTTAGATCACGAACTCGAGCGCGCGCTCGCAAAGCGCGCTGCAGGCGCCTCTTCACCTTCATCATCAGCACCATCTCCTTCACAATATCCATCATTATCCGCATCATCATCACCAATCACAGCATCAGTAGTCAGGGATGACTCTAAACATCTATTGCACACTAACGCGCCAGTTGAAACACGCGCGCCTATTGCTATCGCATCGCGCGTGTCTATCGCTATCGCATCGCGCGCGCCTATTGCTATCACCTCGCCAGCAGTCAGGGATGACTCTAAACATCTATTGCACACTAATGCACCGCTAGAAACACGCTCGCCCCTCGCTATCGCATCGCTTAAGGAAGAAACCTCGCCAATCGCACCATCACCATCACTGCTCGCATCATTAGAGGTCAGGGATGACCCTAAACATCTATTGCACCTTAGCGCGCCTATAGAGGAGCCTCCTACCGCATCAGAGGCTCAAGTTGCACCTTGCATCAACCAGAGTTTGCCTCTGGTAACTCCAATTGTCACTAACGATTGCACGCATGTCGCGCTTTTTGCTTCCAGTGACTATCGCGCACCGGTAAAACATCCGTGCATCACGCTGCACAACCACCAAGCAGAGCATGTCTCAGGCGACCCTGGCGCAACTCAGGCGCACCATATTGCACCTGAGGACGCGCAATGCGCGCGCCTAGAGGCATTGTATATTTTTTCTCATCTTGTTTCGCGTTTTCTGTCTCTTTCATGTTTAAAGCTCTTAAGGAGCTATATGATGCTTCCAATCACTGTAACTTCATCTTTGCACCACCCCTTATTCACGCGCCATGATCACGCGCATCGCGCAATATGCGCGCGCGTTCCCGCGCCTCGCGCACTCATAATTTTAGCAGAGTTTTCACGCTACCGCATTTCTATCGCTTCTCCCCTTCTAAACCGCATTTCTATCATTCAACACAAAGTATATTTCAATCAGCCATCCAGGCGCGACTTAGGCGCGCGCCTGACACATACATATGCGCCTAACTCCCCTATCATCATCTTTAACTTTGCACTTCCCACATTTATTCACATTCTGCGCGCTTTTGCTTACCATGTCAATTTCATTCCTGCGCACCTTGATGCGCACTATTCTCCTTCACCTATGCGCCTATTGCGCCTTGATATACCACCCTTACAGCCCATTGGCGCAACATTTGCGCCTAATTCTTCACTATACATGTCTCTCGCTAATGCATTTGCAGAGAAATGGCCGTTCCTCGCGTGTTCGGCCAATATAATTAAATTCGCGCGAAATCGCACCAAGGCGCGCACATCGCGCGCATCCTATCAGCTTGTAGGGCGCCCCTACACCCCTTGCAGCGCCTCCCATTGGCGCGCCTTCAACCTGCAGCGCGTTGTGCAGGAATTCATTCTGCCAGTTACAAGCCCCCCCCAAGCGCGCCAGCCTCGCTCATTCCAACCCTACCTTGGGTAAAGCGTCAGCTCGCAAGAGACGCGAAGCGCGCTAGTCACGCGCACTCGCACGCGCTCAAGGAGGAGGATCAAGCGCCTCAGCCGCGCATGAAAGAACAACATATAGCATCGCTGTTTCATAGGATACCATTCGTTTTACCCTGGGTTTCATCCAGCGCTCTTTCATTTTATTTTCTCTCATTATAACGCCATCCAAAGAACTAATAACTCGCTGATATATATGCATATAGGAATCACTTAGAAGAACATAGAAGAAAAACAATCATAGAACGTGCCCGCCTAGCTCAATAGTATATTTTCTCTTCGCATGCATGACGCGGCACCATGCTCCTTTTTACCTTAGAACGCGCACATATGCGCGCAGTCTTCCCACGCTCACGCGCACATACGCGCGCAATATTCACGCGCCCATACGCCTCACGCACGCACACATGCGCGCTTCCTGCGCCTCGCTCATAGGAAGGTGTAGATGTCGACAGCCGCACGAAGAAGACAAGTCGGATAGGACATCCGCAAAGTTTACCATTTTTTCCTTCGCATTTTCACATATAGTTTTACTCACACTGTTCAAACCTTACCACCTAATATTTAGCGTGCCTAGCAGGACTTGGTTTGGACTTGGATTGGATCGCTCTTGGACTGCACCACTTCGCATCATACGCACAATACAACACATGCGACACTCATGCGCTTTCTCGCGCCTTGCGCGCGCGCACTTTCTCGCGCTTTATGCCATATGCGCGCCACATCCATATCACTCTCACATCATCGCCTCACACCCAGGGAACACTATTCACACCAGAGTCACCCTTGCAATTCGCCATGCTACGCTTCATTCCCGCGCCTTCACGCATAGCGCGCGCACATTCTCGTGCCTTGCGCGTACCATGCGCGCAACTTCCCACGCTTCACGCACATCCACGCAATAATTCCTGCACTTGCGCATTCATCGCCCAACGACCCAAGCATCATACAGGCATCGCACTCGCATACTATCACGCAAAATCCTCACCATGCGCGCGCTGAGTGGGGACACTCAGAATTTAAGTCCCTGGGAGATGTAGAGACTCGTGCATCTCATAGTGTGATATGGCGCTTTACACTAGGGAGTATACAGCACCAACTCGCAGCATCACTCTGTGTACCATCCACAGTGATTCCTATATGACGCGCAGCTTTCCCGCGCAATGCGCGCCATGCGCGCACCATTCCCGCGCTTCACGATGTATACGCGCGCGCGCGTTCCCGCGCTTGCGCGCCCTATAGCGCCAGCCATCCAGATGCATCCATCCACTGTCCACCAAGCTCCCTAGTGCGTATATTTCCATTTCCTTTATTAGCATAGTTCCACCTTTATTTTTATCATAGTTTCTCACTCATATATATTTTTACATACCTACTCGGTAGCGCTTCGGCTCCGCATGAGCGCGCTTAGGCGCGCTATATAAGCGCCAGCAGTACATACTATTATTTACCTACTTTTTCCTACTTTTCACTTACTAGTTACTACCCACTTACTACTTAGCAGAATATAGTAGAAAGCTATTCCTTTACATTTTGCACTCTTATATCTCTTATCTTGCTTTATATCACTACTTAAGCTTAGTTTCTCATTTCCGCATACGCGCGCGCACTTTCCCGCGCTTCGCGCTAATACGCGCGCGCGTTCCCGCGCCTTTGTACCTTGCGCGCTCCTGCGCTTTCTCGCGCTTCGCTGAAGCGCACACTTCTAGATCCTTGCTGCACTCACTTCCCCTATAGGGTCG